TGCACACTTTCTGTAAATCATATAAACTTCATTTCACCTCTCAAATATCACTGTTTGTCCCCTGCATGATATATTTAACTGATTTATTTTATCCAAACAATCAATGATTTATAAAGGTAAATCAGGAAAATTAACAAGGCGGCCCAAAMATTCACACTCCACTGTATTTATATATTTAACTCCTATTTGCTCAAAATAAATGTTTATTTATAATGTTTATGAGGTTCTACTCATCCTGAATAATGTACTCCACACAAAAGCTCAGAACTCAGGTGGAAAAAAAAACTCTGAGCAAGGGGGGTTGGTGTGAGGCCACTCATTTTTTAGAGGCCCCCCTGGCCCCTCTGCTGGTGGCACCCCTGGGTTTGGCACAAATATTAAATCAAGCTTTATAGYAACACCTGATCAGTCGATCATGTTTAAAACTGTAGATGTTTGAGGCTTAAATATGACAAAAAGGACCCTGAAACTCCAAMACAAAATACATAGTCCTTTTAATCCCCTTTTCCATTTGCTACATCTCAGACAGTAAGCACACGAACGAGAGAGTGCAACATACGGAGTCCAGTCACTGAGCATATAGAGAGCAACTTCCCAAGGAAAAAACAAAACAAACTAAAAAAAAAAAATCACACAAAGTCCACAAAGTTCCCGGATCTTGTGTTTGTGGAGGAAGTCTCTGAGCTCTCGATGCGGAGGGACATGCAGTGAGATCGCTGAAAGGAGAACACAGTGTGGACAACTCTGCTTGCAGACGGCTGCTAATTCACAGTTAGGTTAGAAAAGTGCACACGACTTACTGATCCTGTAAGTAGCTCCGCTGCTCTTTCTAACACGCAGTGTTACAGAGCGCAGCAGTAATTTCTCTGATGTAAAAATAAAGGACATTACATATCGATATTCACACATCAACTATTGGCATTGATTTCACAATATGTACAAATTCACAACTTAGTGACACTTTCTGAACGAGTCGTTTTCTTTAGTTGTAGTTTCTATTTGTCTACAGTTTTCTATGCAGCGAGAGATTTGCATCAATGCTGTAGTTACATCATATAAAACATATTTAATGCTGTACTAAATAGCATAAATATATTCATATAGTATTATACTCTTAATATACTGGATTTCACGGTATAAGATGGCATGATTTGTTTTTTTTAACTCTGACCCTGTGAGGAAGAGAGACCACATGAACAACACAGTTAAAATGACAAAAATAAAGTAGCGTATAACTTATTGACAGTCTGTTTTTGTTTTTTTAATCCCTTTCTTAGCTTTAATTGTTCAATCTGAGCAGATTAAAAGGCTTTGTTTGTCATCCTTCTGACAGAGCAGCTCTGGAAGTGTTTTCACGTGTTTTAATCTCAAACAGCGGAAATTAATTTTACAGTAAATATTTAGACTGAAAATGTTGAAACAGTTATAAACATGGTTGGAGAAATGTGCAAAAACATCTTCCTTGAAAGAGATGAAAGTTAGAAACACAATTATGAATAATTATGACTATTTGAAACTATTTTTCTCTGTTTGAAAAACAAACGTTAAAGCTATTTTCTTAAACTCAAAACTTAAAATTTAAACTGTAATAAATTGGATCTGTTCAAATACACAAGAAATTATTTATCAGGTTATCAGATACTTTGTTGCTGATGCGTTATTAAAATGCTTGTGGTTTTTATTTCGCTGTATTTTTGACTCAGCAGTTTTTACTTCGGCGCTCTGAAGAATCATCCATAAACGTCAGAGCTGCTTCTTCAGAGATGAGTCGTCACGTCCTGAATCACAGCTAACTAAATGATGGATGTTATTTAAAGTAAAAACTGTGTCTGAAAAAGAGATGATTATATCACCAGTGGAAAATTTATTCACTGAAGGTAATTTAAACATGTCAGTGCGAGCTCAGAAATGTATGAATTACTTATAAAACAAATGGTTTAGTTAGTGGTTTCTAAAGTTTATATGTTGTTTTAATTCATTGTACCTGTAATTCAAATTTATACTGATTTGATTGTTGAAAAATRGGGAAATTTGATATTTACGTGGTTCTGTTGTAGTTTTTCAGGCGTCAACWCAAGAGGCGAAAAACCTTGGCCAACACTAAAGTTTTAAAAACTGAGATTTTGCACATTTCATCCACAAACTAAAGATTATCTGGGAAAARTAAGATAAGGAAATAAACAAAATAAAGGTTTTACAAAGTGGAATAAAAAATAACCTCTATTTTTGGTAAACCATGTCAGCTTTTAGAATCAGTTTTGTTTGATGGTTTTCACTTCAACAACAACAGAGCCATTTTAACCTTTTTTTTCTCTCTTATTTCGAACTTCTTCCTGATAATTATCACTTTTGAACCTTTGTCTGCTGAAATTGTAATCAGATGGGAGGAAATTGTAAATAAAATCAACTAAAGTGTCGTTTTGGGAGAATGTCTCCAACTTTTCACTGTTGAGAATTAAATGCTAATTTATTATTACTTCTGTTTTTCTAATTATACTTTGAAACAATTGATTTAAATATGTTTATAACCACTGGGAGAAGGAAAAAATGACTTTACTGATCTAAAGTGAATATTTGAATATTAGTTTTTTTCATATATGGTCAGAGCTGCACTGAGACGACCTCAGCTCTGTGTTTGTTTACAGAATAAATCTGATGAGGTTTGAGTTTCCAAATGAGGAAAAACACTTTCAGATATCTGAGCTGAAAAACAGCAACATTACATCAGTGTGGAAGAAAACTGGTTGGAAACGGGACGAACTACAAAACTCTTCATTCTCAGCCCTGTTTGTGTGGAAAAAACATCATCATTATAATGAAACGGTACATTATTTATGACACACCTGAAAACACAGAACTCTGTCGTTAGGAATCAATGAAAGTTTTGGATAAATTTGAGGAATACTGACCAGTGATGACAGTGTCTGAAAATTATTTAGAAAAACTGGGACACCGTGACCATTATTATCTACTACAAAATACAAAACCAATCTGTTATACAGTATGTACACATTCAAATTAACACTGACAAATTATAATAAAAAGACCATAAAGTAAAAACGTGATCACAACAGAAACAGAGAAAATATATCAACAGCAAGTGAAGCAAAGAAAACAAAGAATAAAAACCCACAAATAAATTAAAAGTAAGTTTTTTTTAAAGTGGGGTTCTGTGGAGGTTTTAGTAAAAATCATTATCTTACCTGCAGCTGAAGTGATTTAAAGCATAATTCTAAGAAATGAAAGTGTGAATCTTTCTAGTCATTCATGTCCATGGAGTTTAACAGTGTCACATTTCATCTAACAGGTTGTGGATTTGTACCAAACCAGCATACTGAAGCCCAGGTTGGGTTTGTGCAACCAGACAGAGAATACATTAACCACAAGAGAAGAGGACTCTCACGTCAGTGGAGGGAGATGTCCAAAGCACTCAACATCAAAGCAAAGCAAGAATGAGGGGTTCAGTTATTAAAATCACAGGAGATTCAAAACGTCCCTGTCTGTTTTAAATCAGAAGTATTGAAAAGTTTTCCTGTTAAATACAGCAGAGGAGGAGATCGAGACGTGAAGGCAGGGAAAGCCAAAGGAAACATAATTTAATTAAAATAAATTATTTAAAATTCCCTCCATATGAACAACGCACATGCAGCTAGCTGAGAAGCTAAGTGAGGGTTGAACATTAAGTTTATCAAACATAATCTGTATTTTGTAACCTTAGTTTCACACAAACCACTATTGGTAACTGTAGACTGGGTCAGGAAAACCCAGAACACTAGTCTTTTATGTAATTTAGGCCACAGTGTTGTTGGACTGTGGCTGTTGGCATCTAGTTTATGAACGACATTTGTGAGGAAATTTCCAAACTCTCAAACCTTTGAGTGGTTTTAATCCCTCGTGTGAGTTGTTGTCTGGAACCTTGAACATGTTCAAACAAGGGAGACAGTTTTCTTTTAAACTCTTTAAGCACAAACACTTGGTCCAGATGTACAGCAAAGAGTGACGGGCCGTCAGTGGCCAGGGGTGGTTCATGCATGGGCCAGTGCCACATTAACCAAACCACAACTGGACCAGTCATGGCATGCCATTTTAAAAGCAGTGCCATCATTGCCAGACCTGGCCTACATCTGTCCGCTAGGTGAGATGCACAGTTTTACATGTCTCCAGCCCATCTAAAATTATCTAATTGTGACATAATTTTGAAGAAAATGACTATTGTGGACAAACAAAGATATGTTCAGGACTTTGTAGATAAATTGGGCTAAAAAATTGCATGTCAAAAATAATGTTTTTTAATTAAAAGCGTCAATCAGTCAGCAAGCTTTGGTCTTGAGCTAGCGTTAGCTCGTCTGTAACAACAAACCTCCAATGGTTTGATCTGTTTCTACTGCAGGTAAGATGTTGACAGCAGAAAACAGCTCCACAGAACCCCACTTCAGGAAATCCAAGCTACTCTTTTAATGTAAAGAGATAAAAATTAAACAGGTATATACTCYCACACTGAAGTGTCAATCAAGGCTCTGTCACACAATAACATTTTAGAGAATTCACGCCAACCAATGAAAATTTTTGTATGACTATTTCACTCATATTGGCTATATATTCGATCTAACTGTTAGAATTACAGTATTTACAGGTCCAAAGAGGCTTAAAATTGATTGTTTTTAAATTCCATCTTCATCTTAGACATCTGTAGTGTTGGATAAACCTTTCATAAGTTGGTATAAGTCATCTAAAATATTATAGAGTGACAGGACCTTCAGGATTTGACTCCATTCTGAAGTAAAGGTGGTCGTTTAAAATAAATTAACTCATGAGTCAAAACATAAAAGCACATAATCTGGATTATAATCTCTTTGCTTGATCGTTTCACAGGCAGAGGTCTGTTAACCCTTCATACTGATAGGCAGTTTCATACTTGTCCAGGCGCTGGTTGCGAGTGGGAGGAGCCATAAGGAGCCTACAGGATGCCAGTAAATGTTTACAGACACAGATGTTTGTGCATATTTGTGTTGTAAAAGCAAGTGAATGCCTATTTCTTTTTTATTGAGATGAGTGTATTTTCCAAGGCACATATATTATCTGTTATTGAACATAATTAAACAATAAGAACCAGTGGAGTGGAGGTTGTACAGGCAGCCCTTTGAGACTGCTCTGAGAGTGCTGAGATTCAGCAAGAAGTGAGGGCCAGACTCTGACTATTATTAATGATGCTCCTATAAAACTATACAGGCTGCCCCCAACTAACAGGAAGGCGACCAGCGAATGGCTTCGGCTATAGCATCAGTGTGTGTGTGTGTGAATGTGTTGTCAGCTCCACAGACGTGTCAGCGCCTTATTGAGGGGAATAAGTTTCAGTGAAAACTTAAAAATGCATGCTCACTCGAAACTCATCATAGGCAAAAACCCCAGAAAAACATGTCAAAACACGGAGAGTGCACAATTTCGACGACTCCACAAAAAACGGCAAGCGATCAAAACACAGAAGGAGAAGGAATAAGGGGAAACAGTTGCTGTGTGGGGAAACAGGGCCAGAGCTAAGAGTGGAGCAGAGCAAAGAAACGCCACACAAAAMCACAGACTGATGAGAGGGACGGACCTCCTCCCAGGTCCACTTGTGGGTCTAATGTCGGCTAAACTTTCATCTATACAGCCGTGCAAACTATCAAACTTTTAAGGAATTCGAAGAATAAAAAAATGAACCACACCAAACATGCGCACACACATACACACTTTAAGATGTGATGGACTTGGCCTCCTGCGAACCGGTCTACCCCCCCCACAAATCAAGCCTAGCATCGCGTGAATCTCAGTTTAGGTTGTTCGCCTTCATGATGGCGGGCTTTCTGTTGACATACGTGGCCCAGTAGCCCAAGTTGAAAATGAARAACAGAATTGGGAAAATGATGCGCGATATCTTGTCCACTTTGCTAACGCGGTTGTAGGACTTCTTGGCCTCTGTGTAGGGGTCGTCGAATCTATGCAGGAAGGAGTGTTTCACCGGCGGGGCGGGGGCGCTCTTTGAGATGGTCGTCAGGCCCTGGTCTTTAGCGGCGTTGATGCCGTAGGTGGTGCCGACAATGTTGAAGGTGTTGTTGGCCTTCTTGGTCAGAGTGGYGGATTCTCTCCTCTGCAAAGGAAGGAGGGCAGTTTAAAGTCGTCAGAGGTGAAGCACCAGACTAAAACAATACTTCCATTTGAACTCATAAAGAGGAAATAGAAGCAACAACCACGAGACACGACACACACAAGAACAAAACAAAAGCCTAACCATATCTTTAATCCTGGCCATGTTAGCCTGAAACGGTTCCTGAAAAGAAAAGTAGAAAAGAAAAAAAGTTTACCAATTATAGTAAAAATTACCCAAACTTACAAACTCTATTCATCAATGAACGGGAAGAGATTTTGAACATTTTACAGTTTCATTTATGTCAAATCAATACGACATTATACAAATCTGGACCGCAGAAAGAAAGAAAAAAAAATTACGAAGAAAAATATGACAAAAATATTAGGCTGGTGAAATTAAAAAGATGCGCTGGCCATTTTCAAGTGGAGTTCTGTGGAAAAGTGATAAACAGTTAGTGTCTTACCTGTTGTAGATAGCTCACTTAGCTTCAGTTTGCAGAAATAAAGCTTAAATCTGAACGAACTGATGAGCTAACAGCTAAAATCCAAAACTCAAAATTTTAATTTTGTATCAAATGCTATTTTATAAACCTTTATTAAACTTTTATTTCTCTGACTTTGGTTAGCTGTGCAGCTAGCTGTAACCATTTCTGCACAGTCTGCACCAATTCCTGCAGGAATTTCATAAATTTTCTGCAGGAATATTGGTTTAATGTGAAACTATCAGCCTTGTAAAGGGTTCAGTAATTGCATTAGCATAAACTGCTATGACATTTTAAATATTGTTGATGTTTTAAAACAGCAGCAATGCATTTTAAAAGTGGCTTCACTTGGACCGTATTGAGGTAATAAGGGTTTTTCTGAGCAGGGCCGCATACAGTTTGTAAAATTCTGTAGTAGTTCATACAAATGCAGTTTTTCAAACCTTTATATGTCCACTTGGCAGGAATAAAGAAAATCTTGCCAGAAGTGCYACAGCTAGTTGAAACTGCTGCTAATTAAAATAGCAACGAACAACAGAATTCTCTGTAAACAATGGTTCCACTTATCAGCTAATCGAGGAACTACTTTTTTTATTTAGCAGATTAGCTTTTTCGCTTACTTTGAAAATTGTTAGCGGACCATTTACTTTGCGGTAAATTAGATTTTTGCAACTTTAAGTCCGCTAACAAAGCAATCTTTGTGTCCATTGCACCAGTCTTCAGCTCGAAGACGAAGACCTGTGACGTAGACTGAGTGACAGCTGACTTAGTGGTTAGCAGGTCAGTAGGGTTCCCAACTGTGCCTTATTAGCTTGGATGTCCCATATTTTCAGCCAAATTGTAGTGTCCCGTATGGGATGCTCTTTTTTTCTTTTATTCTGAGTGCACCCTGCTATCAGAACTGTCATGTTATGGCAAGCAGGTGGGAATTTTTATAGCACCCCAAGCTGCAGGGGGACCTCGAAGTACAGTACTGAAGCAGTCAAATGCAACGACCAAATAAAACACTGAGGGCATTAAAACGACTGTCGTACTCCCACTACCCACTTCAGGGGCCCCGTGACAGCAACGCAGACTGTAGCAGCTTCATAAGCCTGTTTGCTGAGGTTTAGCAAAAGCTACATGTCAGCATGTCCATTTTGAAGTTGTGCAGTCAGAGCTGGTTAAATAATTATCTGACATACTTGTTTGGTTCAGTGTTTACATTTGAACCGGCCTCTGGTTGACTGCTTCAGTGCAGTGTGTATTTATGAAATGAATCGATGTTCTGGAAGTATCGGTCCAGTATTAGTATCAATACGGTCCAAGAGAGACAAACGTTACTGTCATATACTGTGTTTCTGTGGATTTTCAGTCGTTCAGGACATGGAAAATGAAAAGAACAAAGATGAAGCAACTGGACTTCGGTTCTGTAGCTGAAGGTGCGTGGAGCTACAATATTTAAACAGCATGCCTCTACAGTATTGTATTGATCTGCTCACCATACCTCAGTGATGTCAAATTCTGATGAAATGAGACATGAGGATTTTTCATAATAAAAGTATTGTATGATGCATTCAACACCAACTACTGGTGCGCAAAACTAAATAAGGATAATGGAAGTTTCAGTTATGATACATGATAAAGTTAGAAATGGTAAATGGACTGTATTTATATAGCCCCTTTCTATTCAACCAGGATACTCAAAGTGCTTTATATTACAATCTGTGCTGTCATTTACCCATTCACACATCACTCTACTAGGCAGTGTGGGGGTTCAGTATCTTGCCCAGAGACAATTCACAGCTGGGTGGGTTAAAGTTCAGATAAAGTTTGGTTTTCAGTGTTCAACTTTCATAAAAAAAGATTTTATAATGTTTGATTTATTCCAAGAATTACATTTTCCATTTTATTTTATGTTTAGCATTAATAAAGCAATAATTCTAGTTAGATTATGAGTTAGCTGTGCCCACCACTGTAAATAACCAAATTAAAAAAACTGCTGACAATGTTAAAATCCAGGAATTAGAATTAGCATGATTTGTAACAATTAAAATTGGATTTATTTTAAAACAATATGCATGTTAACAAGCTAATGATGACTTGTTCAAGCAGGGCTACGTAGAMTTTTAAAAAGGTCACAGTGGTTCATAGTGCTAATCATTTATTCAACATTCACATTTCATCCCATCTGTGGCAGAACCAGTTTGCTTTTTCTGCTGAATGTAGTACAGCTAATGGCTTCTGCTGCTACTGGAACTGATAAATAATTACAGTATTCTATATGAAAAACCACTTAGTGCAAAACTGAAAGTGACATAAAGTCCAAAAAATTAACCAGATGAAATATTTGAATATTTGTTATTTTTCAAACGGCAAAAAGCAGTGCTTGAGTTCACTTCAAACTCAGCAACCTTTATTTCTCCAGACCTAGGCCATTCACAGAACTATCTACAACAGGTAAGATATTAACTGTTCATAATCTTTCAGCAGAGCTCTGTTTTAATAAGCCTGGAGCTTCTGTTTCAGAAGAGGAAAAGACGTTTTGTTGTTCAGAGCCAGGCTAACTGCAGCAGTAACAGCAGAGAGGAGGATTAGAAACAAAGCAGAGCAATAGTGCCTGAAAACATGTCTGACAAACTGTATCAATGAAGAAGCCAGGCCTCTTCAGGCAAACAGCTTGTGATAAAACAAACATGACAAAGACTGTGTATGTGTGTGTGTGTGTGTGTGTGTGTGTGTGTGAAAGACAAAACAAGCTGGAGAGTCTGCTGCCTTCCTGCTACTGCCGAGCCATGATTAGTTTGTCTTTCACTTTGAAATCGCACAGGAAGACACTTTTTTTTTGCTCCTTCGCTACTCTCTCATAACTAAACATGCATCTCTGGAGGATCCTGTCAGCCAAACGGAGCTTGGCGCGACGTGGCTCGGTGGGGGTGGAGGGTGTGTGTGTGTGTGTGTGTGTGTGNGTAGGGCAGTAAGATGGATTACTGAGCAGACTTTCAGTTTCCTGTGTGGCACGCAGTGTGAGTTGGCACTGTGGTAATTTCCTTCAGACCATCCATTCTGACTGCAGCCACTTTCAGATCTGCAGCACAACATAAGCGCTTTGCTTTCTCACACTTTACCCCCCCACCCCCTCTTTTCAGCTTGATTTAATTTCCCCTCTACTATCTTTTAATCAAGATAACTAATGTGCTCCTTTTGCTCCTCCACCACGCTTCACGGTTAATCTGCTTCTCAACACAACTTCTCATGAAAAAAGATGGGTTTGCTCTTCGTCTTTCTGCTCATGTACACACAAAAAATGAGCAAACAACAGTTGTTTGCATGTTCACATCTCATCCACAGACGTTTTACTGTGAGAAATGACAAAGAACTCTGCAGGTTTTAAAAATCCTGACCTGGAAACTGAGACTTTTCAGTTCAAGGCGACTGTAAAATGGTGATGGACGCGTGCTGCGATTGGTGTTTTCTCTTTAGTAAGCAGGACAACAATGAGAGTGACCCTTATTCTGCTTCCACAGCAAGTCCTCTTGAGGTCTATCAAAGACTGCAAATTGTGCAGGGTTGCAACAATGCTGCTCSCCCCGACAACGCCAGGCCCCTCGGTCACAGTGACGGCTACCATCAGCAGAAAAAAGGAATGACTTCTGTAACGTGTGATATGACCTTAATCAGACATCACTGGCCCCCCCAGTCTTTGGCATTAAGAATGTTCTTTGCACAGTAACCTGATAAATGAGCTCCACAGTCGTGTTCTGTTGCTTTTTTTTCGCCACTCTGTCATCTGTGGTAATTTATATGGTCTAATTAGCGAGGAAACCGTCTGTGGCATTGGGCTGTGTGCATTTTGTTATGAGCCTAATGTGTCACTTCGTGTAATTTACTTCAGCCGAGACGTTCTCATGCGCCGCTCAAACTAATTTGGCTCGCCTAAGAAGGGTACAATGGATTTTCTCCACCTTGTCTTCCTGAGTTCAGCAAATTGTTGCTTTAAAATTTTTAAGTTCATCTGGGTGAAGGATCCTGAGTGCACAAGGCTGAACAATAAGAGTTTTACGACAGGAGATGAAGAGAGGCTTCAGGTGAGAGATGGGGGTCGGTTACCAGTCAATATCTTACCTGCAGCTCTTAAAACAACCTCACTTTGTATAAAGTCTCATTCTGACCGGATTGATGTTCATAAACATTTCCATTATTTTCAGTTTGACATCACAGCTAATCCAACATAAATAGGATTCCTGCACTATCTTCTCTACTAACTGCTGCTACTGTTTGCATTTACAAACAACAACAACAACAACAACAATAACAACAACAACATTCTCCATAAATAACTGTGTGATGTGAAATTGCATTTGCACGAACCATTTTAGATTAAATTAGTTTCAGGACAGCACAAATCCACTTTGATCTTAGCTGGATCCAGACCAGCCATTCGCTCTTCAATCTGGTCAGAATTAAAGGAGTAGTTTGGTCAACTTTAGGTGATGTTCTAACAAAAGTTATCAGTAGTACTTTATGAGCAGTGGGCTCAGTGGGCTGTGTGATATGAGTCACAGAGAACAGGGTATGGAGGTAAAGATAAAAGCCTTTATCCGAGGCTAGGCTAATGGCTAACTGAAAAAAGCAAATTGTTTACTTTTTTTACTGTTTTTTTTTTTCTCAAAAACTACATACCAGTGCAGGGTTACCCCAGAAACCTTGCAGGTTTGCAGTAGCATTTTTATTATTGTCATTAGTGTGTGTGTATTTTTACGGGGCTTTACAGTAATCTCTTTAATGAGGGGGTGGAGCTTAGTAGAGTGGAGTTTCACCTTGCTCATGGTTGGTCATGGCCACTTATCCTGTTACGATCTTCACTGGCACTGGCTCGAAATAAACAAAACAATGCTTAGCATGCTGGGGGGCAAGTAAGACTATTAGGAGAAACCCTGCCATTGTATGTAGCTTTCATTCACATCTGAACATTTTTTAGTAGCCTGAAAAAGAAACAAGCTAGCTGTTCGCCTTATTTGTACGACTTTTGCCCTTTTTTCTGAACTCTAGTCATGTCAGAGCTGATAAAATACTGACTATTGATAACTTCTTGACAGAATATCACTTATTAAAAGACCAAACTATCCTTCTACTATCTGTGTCTCCAAACTGAGACGTCTTAAGAAGCTATCTGCAACAGATAAGATATTTATTGTTTTTAACCTTTCCACTAAACCTTACTTGAATTATTTTGAACTATAGCTTTAATAGAGTTAAATATGTAATAATGTAAAGTATGAGAGTGGATTTAGGCTGTGGGACTGCTGTAAATAATAAAAATATAAAATATTTTATCGTGTGTGTGTGTGTGTGTGTGTGTGTGTGTGTGTAGGTGTGTGTGTGTGTGTGTGTGTGTTGGGTGGAGGGTGATGATGATGATGATAGGCTTCTGTTTCAGAGACATGACTGTGTTGGAACACCTGTGTGGCTCCGGCAGGAGACTCCACAGCGAACAGCTCCTAATTTCTCCTGCAGGTTTGTCAAACCATGACTCATGTGTCAAGATTTCACTTTTCTAACCTAAAACCTCCACACAATAATTACACCTTCAGCTGGAAAAAAAAGAGGGGGAAGATAACGAGGCAGGCGACTTGCCAAACAGAATGTCAGGTGAGGAGAAATGAAGCAAACGACAGAAACGCTCTTTTTTGCATCAGAGTAAAAATATTTTGAATGAATTTGTTCCCATTTTTTAATTTTAGATATAAAAAATAAGCCACTAAAATTGTTTCCACTAAAATTCTGATAAATGGAGCCTCAAACATGTCCTCTCTCCTAGCTGATGCTTTCGTTGCTCTGTGTATTAAAGTTTGATTGCTTTGCAGTTGCTCATGCTTGCAGGGAGTGTGATGGGAGTGTCTTGTCTGTCAGTATGACCTCGTTCTTTTTTTTTAATATCTATCATGACAACTGCATGCTCAGCACAGCCTCTGAGTGAGCCTGTTCTCAGGGACTCCATTAAGACGAGCGATCAAAAATTGAGAAAGAAAAAAGCTCCACAGCAGCATTTTGCACTTCTGCCCGTCACTCTGTGAACCCAATGTTAGGTTATTTAAAATAAAAAGAGTAGCGCTGAACTGATCGTGTTGAACAGTATGAACATACGTAGCAGAAAAAAAAAGATTAACAGCACATTGTCTGTCACGGCAGAAATGAGTTCTTTCTTTGATTCATCATCTGAGACAGTTTCACTGAGATTCTTGTCTGTGGAACAAGTGTCTTATAGTAGCTGTAGTTTTTTTCCTTGCATTTTTATAACAGATTATCTGCAGTTATCAGTCTGACACTGTAATATAAAAAGCGTGACATAGTAATAACCATTTTTGCTGCATTTTAACTAACCCTCGTATATTTGTGTTATTGTGCACTTTATAGTTTTAACCATATCTTGGACGAAAAAAGACCATTACTACTTTACAGAAGCTGCAACTCCAAGTCATTTCAGTTACTTTCTTTCAAATTAAACATTCAAGCTAATTGAAAACCCCAAGACACAAGTAAAAAGGTTCCAATAACACGTTTGTTTTTTCCTGTTTTCTTTGTCGCTTTAATCTAAAAGCGATGATTCAAACCTGGTTTCAAACAGACCATAATACCAGCAACCTTGGGACAGTCATAGGACAGCATTTTTGTGGGCATAAAAGATTAAAGGGCTACTTTGGATCTTTTGATGTGGGGTTCTGTGGAAACATCATAAACAGTTAATATCTTACCTGCTGTGGATAGATGCAGACTTTAGTTCTGACAGGACTGATGAGCTAACAGCTAGTCTGAAGGAGATGTGAAGCAAAGTTATTTTATTAACCTGCACATCACCACCTGCTTTAGTCCTCTAGGTTGCTCCAGAAGGGCTACAGCTAGCTGCTGCTGCTGCTCTTTGTGACCTATCACATCAAACTGAAGATTAAGCTGCAAGGTAGTGTAGGAACATATAGGCAGCAACAACTGTTTAAAAAATGAAACATGGATGGATGTTGTTCAGATATGATGTATAAATAAACGTACTTATGGGTTTATTGAAGGAAATGTCCAAAATATAATTCAAAAGAGTGTTTAAAGCACATTTTCCATGAGTTTGGGCAGAAAAGCCCCAAATTTTAGCTCTTTTCCCTGCGTGCTAACAATGTTATTTTCAAAACCAGCAGGGAAATTCTGAAATTCAAATATGGTTTGATGTTTCCTCTTTTACATGGCATCAAGAAATCCTCATTAGAACACAATAAAAAAGGAGTCAGACCAATTTTTCAGAGCTTATTATAACTGCTCATATCAGTATGATGTAAAATGTGTTTAATTTGTCCAAAAATGACTTAAGCACATTTGCACTTGTAAATAATAAGACAAAGGTAAACAACCATGTAATGCAAAATTGCAAAAATGTAAAGATTATTAAAAACCAGTACGATATTTTAGACTGGTTTCAATCCTGCAGCGATCTTATTTGGGCTTGACAGCTCTCTGACTAGCTGTTAGCTCGTCAATCTGATCAGAATTAATTGCTCAAAACCTTTCTGCAGAACCCCACTTCAAAATAATTGAACTATTCCTTTAAGAGGAACAGAGCTAATGCTGCAGATGAAGCAATAACGTGTCTGTGACTTACCCTTCAAATTTAAAAAGTCAGAGAAAAGGTCTTTATATCTAAGAAACTTGGCACAACACACACAGTCTTTACACATTTTGTCTCATAACTGGCATATCTTTTTTTAAAACTTGGCTCAGCCAAAGGGAAACAGGAAGTGACATCAAAGGGGAACTTTTTTAAGGGATCCCCAATTAATTCTAACATTAGACATAAAAATTTACTTAATCTGTAAAATAAAAACTGAAAATACTGTAGGCTGTTTACAAACTTAAAGTATATATTGTCACGTGGACAGTGCAGTATGTTAGTGTTATCTTAACAAAAATTAATTCATATTTCTGACTGATTTGACGCCACAGGCACTTTAAAAACAGCCACAAAGCTGAGAACTACAGGGAGCATTTGTAAAAGTTTTATATTTTTTCCATGCTCTTCCTAAAAACAACAGCATCTAACAAGTGTTGAAAATAATTATTAGAGCTTAATGAGAATATTATCTGAAAAGTAAAGCACTCTGAAAAATGTTAAAGAAGGCTAAATTTTTTCTATCCATGTTGATGTTTACCCCCTTAAAAACATCCGTCTTTTCCTTCAGCACAAACCCAGTKTGATGAAACTCTGACATCTTCCTGAGAACTCGCAGAGATCTGTTAAAGACACTGATCAAGGAAACACTTTATTAACCAAAACATAAAAACATATTTCTGTTTTTTTTTTTACATTTTATTAAAATTTTAACGACACGGCTGCGTGAATCAAACCAGAACAAACTTTTGACAAATGTGAAGCAAAGAAATCAAGCTAATTAGGTTTAAATTCCTCTTCAGATGCCAAGTTTTTTAAATATTTTAATCCTTTAGAGTTATGATTAGAATCACGCTTTATTTATAGAAACTTAGAGTGATCTGTTTGGGCTCCTGCATCCAAGCAACAAATATAACGTAAATGGGTCAAATTCAGATAGCAATACGCTAACACACAAAGCTAATGTATGCAAGTAAACAATACACAAACAGTCCACATTATGGACAAATAAAGAAAGAAAAACAGGTTTGATTTATCTGCTTTTATGCTATGAAAACAAAAAGCCCAGTCCAGTCAGCCTGGGGTGGTTTATTTTCCATTTTTCTAATCAGCGTGCAGATGTAAGGACGAGCTCACACTGCCTTTAGAGTGAGAGCTGAACATATGCTGCGACTGTAAATCAGGGCCAATGTCTCTGGGAGTTTACTTCTGTTTTTACTCTCACTGTTCCGCCCCGATGTTCCCGTTCCATTTGGCTGGTAATGAATAAATAAAAGGTCTCTTTAAAGAGTAGGGTACTCAAGGCTGTGGTAAAAAAGAAACTTTATTTTATGTGTTTTTGAAGTGCAGCGTCTCCTCATCACGACTACTATTCAGGACAAGTTTGAGTGTTTTTATTTTAGTTTATTTATTTTATTTAAAGATTGTTGTCAAATCTAATTTAACAAGCAGAAAAGTTTTGATGTGTTTTAGAAAAAAAAAGTTACATTTGTTGCCCTGGAACAGACGTACAGGTGTGAGACGCTGCTTTTAATCACTCACCCTTATTTCCATGCCCTCTCTTTTCCCGTCCCATGCCCAGCTGCGTTTGGTGAAGTAGTTGACTGTAGCAAACTCAATCAGGGCAGAGAAGACAAAGGCATAGCACACGGCCATGAACCAGTCCATAGCAGTGGCATAGGCCACCTTAGGCAAGGAGTTCCTCGCACTGATGCTCAGGGTGGTCATGGTTAGGACTGTGGTGACCCCTGAAGACAGAAAGAGAAGATAATTCAGTAATTTTGAAGGGAAAAGCCAAAGTTTGTCTGTTTATGTTTATTTTTTAGGTGAATTTTAATGCAGTATGATATGATACTTGATACAGTACGACTCAAAATAAAATGTATAGTACAGTTTGATGTGGCCATCTTTAAAACTGATGGTTGGGGGTTTAATCTCCACCATAACCTTGGGCACAACACTGACCCCCGCCTCTATCCCTGAAATGCTAATTGGTGAATGAGTGAGAATATTACAGTGTTGTATACAGAGTGTAAAATATACTGTATAGCAGAAAAAACTGGATGTGTGTGAACGGGTGAACAAGGATCATTGCAAAGTGTTCTGTCTACACAAGTATGAACACATTAGAACACAATAAACTAAGCATTATTTATTAATACTTAAACATAATGTATAATTTACAAATAATCTAATAATACAAACAATACAGTAAAACACAATATAAGACACAATGGAAAAGAATATGAGATAAAACGATCCTATGTGATGATATAATATATATACTATAACCAGGACATTTTCCAGGAGTCTGAAGCTGCCAGCTGATCTTTGGGCTGTTACCCCGAGGCAAAAAAAAAAAAAAAAAGCATTTGGGCAAGTTGGCTTCCATTAATCAAAGTGATCTTGATCATCAAATAAAAGTATGTAAAAATTAATAAAAATGGTATTTTTTAAACTTTTATTTGGTATTTTCTGCTATTTGATCGATAGAATAGCTTTGATGCATAAGTTAGGTTGCGTTCTATTATTACTGCGCTGAGTTCTGCTTCTGGTTTTTTTTTTCTGGGAATGGTTATCACAGTAGACAAAAACCATAATGCAGCATAAACGTGCCATGGCTTCGCCTGTCGCATCATCTGAACAACAACAACAAAAAAAGTAGCTTGCAAAGCTGTTGCACGACGCAGTATACTACATGTAGCATTGTACAGCCCTGGTTATGGAATAATATGATCCACACTATGGTGATACATCCATCTATCTTCTATTATCCATGGAGCAACAGGTTCTGGAAGGAAACTTGGACATCCTTCTCAGCAACACTCCAGCATCTCCTGAGGGATCTTACGTTGTTTTAATACAGTATTTGGATATGTACTCCTTCAGAGAGTTCAGCGTCTCCTTCCAATGGAACAATGCCCCAATGGATTGCAAACCTCCTAAGGGAGGTACATTATTTAGAGGCATCCTAATTAAGTGCCAGAACCACCTCAGCGGACTCTTGTCAGTACGAGGGTGCAACAGTTCTACTCGGAGCTCGCCTCGGATGATGGCGCTCCTCACCCTGTCTCCAAGGCTGAACTCGGCCACCCTATGAAAGGAGCTCATTTCAGCCTCTGATATCTGAAATCTTGTTCTCTGGGTCCTGATCCATGAATGTAGGTGATGCTCTGATGATGATGAAACATGATATATAAAACATTATTACGACATGACATATGATATACTAGAAATAAATGATTGTGACAGACAATAAAATATGACAATTCACAAGAAATTTGTAAATAAATCAAATAATAAAGCAATCTTACAGTGGAAGCTCTAAAACAATCTTTTACAGCTTTAAAATAAAATCCTTGCACTGGTTCCGATTTGTTTTTGGGTTCAGAGTTTGATTCGTGCAAAATGTTTGAATGTAAAAGCAACAGTCCGGTCGAGCTGTGCATAATCTACTGTACGAAATCAGAAAGTTGAGCTTCAAACTGCTGACAGAGTTCACTGATGTGTGAACATTACCAAGGCTCTGGGTCAGYGTTTCAAACCAGGACGTATATCTCACTGCAGGAAACTGTTACAAAGGCTGCAGGGTTTTTGACTTAAACAAGTCTGAAGCACGACYAAATGGAGAAATGGATCCTCACGTGATGCTGAGTATTCATCTACATCTATCAACAACAAACAATTAATAAAAACTAATTTATTTAGCTACATTTAAAACTAAATTTGGTATAAATACTTTTCTTCACATAAAAGAAGCTATCATCCTCCAGCGTTCGTTGGAAGCAGCCTTGTTTTCAGGGTTCTGTTATCTTCAGTGAAAGGTTTGGGCTGTAAAATCTGTACAGCAGATCTCTGTCAACTAAAATGAATTAATCTGGAAATGAATTCACTGGGGTGTAAGGGGAAAATTTCACAGATCATTTCCCTTCCCGGCCCGTTCAGTCCGGTGCTTCTGGGAATGGGATTTGGTTCGGACAATGGTCGCCCATCCAACCAGATCAAAACAATCTCMTCTCTGTTCCAGTCTGTCTTATCTCATGAACTCTGGTACAAACMGGAGATGCTAAACAGGAATATTTAAGGGAAGAACAAAGAGGACAACTTGTTTCAGAAAGTCATTGGTGAAGGGTGACAAAAAAGACTTCCTTGAAGATAACATTTCACCAGATCATCTGATGATAAAGAGTCATAGCCTTTTAGCTAAACCTTAATATCATTATGTGTAATCTCATGCAGTGTTGTGAGAACTCGTGTTGTTAGTGTTAGAKTATGCATTATTTGACTCTAAGCTCTTACAGATTTTAGCTCAGTATCTGTAAAACTGTCTGACGTATCGTTCTGTATGTTTGAAAAGGTTGGYGACCATCTTGAATTGGATTGACCCAAAGCTAACCAGTTGTACATCCAATGGTTACTTTCAGTTTCATTAAAACATGTCCACTGGTTCAAGAGAAATTGTGCTAACAGACAAAAAGAGTATTAGATCTTCGATGTGTGTCTCAGTATTTTCAGTTTTTGTGTTTGTTAAATTCAGTGAGTGGTGGTGGCCATCTTGAATTGGGGTAACTTCAAAAGGTAACGTCCATTATCCTCCTTTTACCTGTCAGTGTAGCTGGATTAAAACTAAAAATTAAATATTCTTGCTATACTTACTAAATCAGTATTTGGTTGAAAAATGGGATGGCTACAGTATATTTCTAACAAAACTGCTGAGAGTTCAACAAAAGAAGTAATTTATCTGATCCCACTGTGAGGAGCATCGGTCGCCTAAAACGTCATTAATCATGTGGCTGAAATATATGATAACTAATTAAATTTATTTTTTTCCAGACAAATGATTTAGGTGTAAAAATCAATAAAACTGAAGACAGCTTTTGGATTCTGTTATACTTTAATTAGCATGAATATTAAATATTAATAATATCATTATACCTTTCATACCAAAATTCATTAATTAACATTTCATGCTGAACCAAATATCTTCATCCTCGAGTCATTTCCTGTAACATTTGGCTGTGTGAAAGATATTAGACGTTTTATAAATGCTTGGATTTGATTGTTCATTCAGGATCTCAGCCTTATGCACAGAACATGTGAGGTTTGAGCTCCTGCTGTTTTAATAACCTCACTTCTCCGTCGGTAAACATATGCAATCTGAGCCGTACTGTAACATCAGTGGGATTACTTCGGCTGGTGAAACTTCCTGTTTTATCTCCACTGTGCAGTAAGTGGGAGCACTTCACATCAAACCAGACAAATACTAAGCTCCTAAATCAAAAATCCCTGTCCCAGAATGATCTGAAGTGAGTAATGAATCATTTATTTCAGACTTACCGAATACAGTGCGCGCAGGAACGGATTCTCTGTTAAGCCAGAAGGAGACCTGAGACAGTATGACTGTCATGATGCACGGGAGGTAGGTTTGAATCACAAAATAGCCAATTTTCCGTTTCAAATGGAAATACGTTGTCATCACTACATATTCTCCTGAGGGGGGGAAAAGAGAAGCAAAGAAAGAGAGTAGAAAAAAAGAGAGTTGGGATTATTAAAACAACCAGCTGGGTGGAACAAATGTGCTGCTCAAACGTCAGGAATCCTGGGTACAAGTTTGTTGATACCAGATGTTTAGTTTCTGTCCTTTTTTCTTTTCTTTTTAACACCAGGATCAGTTTTAAAAAGAAGACAAAACATTTGTAGATAATGTTGCTGAGAAAAATAACATTTTGTTGAAAGGCTGTGAAGACTTAATGTCATATCTGTTGTAGATAGCTCTCTGAACTTCAATTTGGAGAAAGAGTTTAATTCTGACGGCACTGAAGAGCTAAAGGCTAGGTTTACATGGCCCAAATTTGTCAAGGCTACATCTGGCCCGCTTGTGGTTTGGTTTATGTGGTGCTGGCCCATGCATGGACCACCTCAGGCAAACCACATCTGGGCCACCAAAGGGCCATCCTTCTTTGTGGTATCTGGGCAGTGTTAGTGGATTGTGTGGGCCAGAACTGGGCCAGACTAACTTTGCTATGTGGGTAAAGTCAGGACCCAAACATGAAAATTGAAACTTCAAAGGTCTCCTAGTGGCTGGCCAATGTACAATTTGAAAGTCTCACCCCTCCATGTAAAGAAATTAGAAATTTCTTAACTAAAAAATGTAAATACACTTTATATATGTTTTGTTTCAGGTGTTGATTTTGTTGATTCATGTAGTTTTTGCTTTAGTACTGTATGCTCAAATGTCCACGATTTTAGTTTCAAATAGTTGAAGCTTTAAAAAGTCACTAAGAGGAAAGTCAGAAGATGCAGACTGAGACCAAAATGTTGATGCCGTCCACAACAAACTGTCCTCCAGTGATTGGTAGGAAAAAAATGTAAATAGATGCAAATGAGGTGCTTCACATCCTGCCCCCCTCCAAGACCCGATCACTGTGTCCACCCCACCTCCTTCAGACACTTTCAGACACTTTTGTAGTTTGATAGCAGAGATACCATTGTTTAGTAGTGCAGATAGTTTATTTACAAACTGATTAAAATATGTGACCCATCATATCAAAATGAGGATTGAGTCAAATTTGATAAAAATGACCTAATTACATTTTCAGATTCCTGGCTTTAAACGCTATATTTTGATACCTGGAACATTATGATATCATAAGTAAATCCATATATATGACTTAATTTGCATGGATCTTGTTGGTTATGATAATACATAAATATTCGGTCTGAATCCTAATTATATGTAACTTTAATAACGAACTTTTGATGTCCTTATAAAAGAGGAAATTTCAAATAGTGTTTGAGTATTGAGATTCCCCAGCTGAAAAAAACAAAACAAAACAAAACAAAAAACATTTCAAGTTCACAGGGAAAATCTCAAATTTTTTATATATTTTTCCTCAAAATCAAGTTTTTTGTTGCTACTGCTTCAAAAAGAGCTTCAAAATTCTGTTTTATGATTATATTTCAGACAGTTCATTCAAATGATACATTGATAAAGTATTTATTCATTATGTTTTGACAAAATGTAATTTTTGCAAACATTAACCAAAACATCCAAATCCCACTTAATCCTCGTTTTGATGTGATGGGTCACACATGTCAACAATGGACTTGTCCATCAAGCCTTACACATTGGAGCTGGAGTATTCAACAAATGTTGTGATGTTATTGTTCAAAAAATGTAATCAGGAATAATTAAAACTGAACAGACTGAAATGACCCAAACAGAATATCTACGCAGCATAGAAAGACTAAAATCAACTTTTCTGCACCCCTAAAGACTCCAAGTACACAACAAAATGTATTTAATGGCTAAAAAAGTTTAAACTGAAGTAAATCTGAGAAATAAACTCCCATCAATTAAGGGTAAACTAAAGCAAACATTTTGGCTGCAACACTTTCCTCCTGGATCAGGACAAGTTATCAAGCTATCCTCTGCTCTCCACAGAAGCTTTTAAGCCTAAATCAAATTAGTAATTTATTCAATTTTAAATGTCACTAGAGTATTCCAATCCAAATACATTTCCATTTCCCCATCTCCCTCTACATATGTAAAGAATGTTCGACTGCGTCTTTCTCAGCCATTTGTATTTGTCAGCGATGGCAGCAAACAGCCTGATTCACAGTTTTCCCTGAGCGCTGGCTCTCCTGCCCAGGTTTACAATCTGTGTTGCAGAGATATGAGGAAAACAAGCCTCAACTCCCGGAGGTGTTTTGTCTGGCGAGATCCTGTTCGGGTCTGGAAAGGCTCAAATCTGCCCGTTCCCTCTGCTCGCTGTAGTCCATTAGAGATTACAGTCAGAAAGAAATGAGATTTCTGACATCCATATCCAGTTGGAGGAAAACGTTCCGCAAGAGTTCCTTTGTTACCGCCCTGAAACTATCTTTGCAACTCTCTTGACCTTGAGTTCTACGCACCAAAAAGTACAACAATTAGTTTGGACTCAGGGAGCTCATTGTTTTCAGAGCTGAATGAGTTCAACTAGTTAAACATCTCACTGGAAACCAGCAACCAGGGAGGAGTGTTGGTCTTTAAAGTCTGACAGAGCTCTGTGACTCTGCAGCTCACGTCCTGAGAGCTGCATGAGCAAACAGGTTAAATCTCTCTAAATGGGAAGCTAAGTGTGGCTCAGCTGTAAGCTCTGCTCTCGCTCACTGATTAAAAGTAACAACCTTTAGCTTTTGCAGTCAGGTGTTTGACTCTTCCTGCAGTGTTTGTGCTCCGTTACCTAAAGCTGGTGCAGGATTCTTGTGTCGGACAGGTGGCCACTTTGCAGGGATATCACTGAGGTTTTTATTAAATGTAGTAAAATAAACAGTCATTGACATAAAAGATAAGAACTCAGAGTAGGAGGTAAAAATGAAATAAAACCACATCTGCCATGAGTCTGTTCTACAGTACAATATCAGATCCAATGGATAAACAGAGTTGGATCTACTGCTAGTTCCATGACAGTAGAACCATAGACCATAGTCCTCGCAGACCAGGACACCAGCTTCATGTGGAACTACAGCTGTTGCATCCTCAAATGATGAAAGTTTGCCCACAACCGTTGGAACTCATTTCCAACATCCTGCAGATCAGCGCTGGTTCAGAGCTGACATCTGAGCTGATTCAACTCATGTTCGGTTGGTGAAGGATCGGAGACACCTGGCTGGAAGAGACTCCATGTGTCGTGTCTGGATAGATGGTGTCGTGTAAGAAGACTGCACTAAAGCCTCACAAGGGGTAAGACATGTGGACTAGGGTTGGGCGAAACTGGCAAAGAAATTAATTTMTTTTGGCATTTWGCCAATAACGATYAATACGATGATCAATAGATGACTCTAATCAGCTACCCTGTGATACAAAATTAAAATCATCAGTCAAATTAACTTCATTTGAACAGTCACATACCCCTTTTTTACAGCACTTAATTTGGGGGCACTAATCACAGTGCCACTGAGCCATCAGGGTCTTTTGAACCATTTTTGAACCATTACCAAAAGAGTGGTGGAGTGGTTAGGGGAGTCGTCCTGGAACCGGAAGGTTGCCAGTTTGATCCCCCATCCAGCCGTTTCAGCTTTTGTGTCCTTGGGCAAGAAACTTCACCCTCCTTGCCTACTAATGGTGGTSAGAGAGTCCGGTGGCGTCGGTGCATGGCAGCTCCGCCTCTATTAGTGTGTCCCAGGGCAGCTGTGGCTACAATGTAGCTTATCRTCATGTGTGTGTGCATGGGAGAATGTCTGAAGTTTAAAGCACAGTGGACTTGATAAGGTGCTATATAAGTTCAATCTATTTACCAATAATTCAAGAACAATCTTCCAGACTCCRATTAAGGAATGAAAGGTCAGATTATTCATGATTGTTTGTCATTTCTTATGTTTTGTTTCAAGATGATAAAGTCTCTCAYAGGTACATCGAGCCAAGTGAATGAATTACCTGAAACTATACAGATGCTTCATMATCTTGTTTTATAAAAAGCAAACACACTTGTCACAATTCCTTTTATAAAAACAGTGTTGGTTATACAGGAAATATGTTCCTGTCAAAGTAAGCTGCAAGACCGTGTGCAAAAACCCATCTGGACTGTTCTGCATTCAGAGTGCATTGTTTCAGCTACTGTTCTTACATTTCCAACTCTGCAGTCCAAATTATACACAATGATTCAAGACCCTTTGTCTGTTTGTTGGTCTCATTGTAAAGATTCACTCTGCCGGCGAGGAATTCTGCGTCACAACAAAGCTGTTGATGCTGCGCTGCTGCAAAAACCTAATTTGGATTTACTGTAGAATAATATGGACTAGAATATGAAATTTGGTATTTTTATTTGAGTTTCTTCTCATTGTTTTCTTTCCGTTATCATTGTACATCATGTAGCGTTGGAGTGTTGTCCGACAGTAATAGTTGTAATAAAACACTGAGCATTCTGCAGTCACATCAAACAAAACAAATGAAAAAAATAAAGATTTTTCCCTCAAGGTTCTTTTGTAATTGTTGTTTCAGCTGCTGCCTTCTGTAGAATTTACCACAGTGAACAAACACATAAAAGATTTGACAATTATTTTGCACCGGATGCCCTTCTCCGGGCTCAAACCTGCAGCCTGAGGATTAAAAGACGGCAGCACAGACCACACAGCTACCACAGCCTTGGAGGGTCTTTTCTAATTGATGATGAGTTATTCAATGAGTCATTTCAGCTTCAGTCATCTCCATTTGGAGCTCCCAAACAGCACACAATAGTCATTTGTGGTAATGCAAAACCCAGATTTATTGCTGACCACAACACAGCACCACTCATTATCAGCCCATGCCCCSCGGTTACCACGCTGCTCCAAAGGCAGCCGTCTCTGCTCTGGTGGTAATGGTGTTCTATGCAACAGTGAACCCGGAGTCTAACACACAAGAGTTCACTACCTGTGTGGGAATGTCACGAGTTTCTGTGATGTTTGCTGCACTGGATGATGAGCCTCTTTTGGTTTGCTTGGTCTTGGGTGACCAGAGCCGTCTTGATGTGTGCATGTACCCTGGCAAACCCATTGGTTTGGATATTGGTCCACTGGGACATCTGTCAACCCCACATACTGAGCATGATATAACAGTATCAATACTGTGGATTTATAATATTATTGTGAAACTTTCTATTTAATATGGCTCCAATTGCTATTTAGGTTTTTAATATGTTGTATCCTGGTTAATTTTACTCATGGCTTTTATTGTTCATGTATACGGTTATACAATTAAATGTAAATTGTATATTCATATTCATCACTGCTCTGCATGCGGACTAAATTATGTCCAAATTAGACAATTTCTTAACTATTTTAATCAGTGCGTGTACATGACATTAAGTAGTTGAAAGAATTATACAGGAACCCAAGCTTTATGTCCTCCAGGACTCATTCCACAGATTTGATGAGAATAATAAATTGTTAATGTATACAAAATCCTTGGGAAGAGAAGGTGTTCAGTTTCCACTGATTAAATTTGACTTAAGTTATATTTACAAAGAGAAAAGAAAGGAGAAAAAATGTTTCATTCTATCTTTCTTTTTCTAGTTATCCTGCAGCTCAGAGCAGTGAGCTGTTTGCACCGACTCCTAACCTTTTGCCTAAAATAAATCAGATTTCATCTGTGAGAATCTGTATTCTGTATTGTTGCCTGGGCTGAGGCTGACACGTGGYGTACCTGTGCTGGAGCTGATGGTTTCTTTGCCAATAACATGACCCAGTAAGTCATACTGGTTAAGCCTGGAGCCGTCCTCTGCCACAGCCACAGACCTCTCATCCCCTTGAGTCCACAGGTAGATCACCTCATTATTGGTGTAAGCATCTGGGGAACAAGGTGGGAAACAAAAAAATGTAGGAACCATCCATCAGAGTCTTCAACAACAGTTCAGGTTAAATAGATGTGACATGTTGACTGAATTTTAAGAAGACGTTTTGTGTCTAGTTTGAAACTAATCAACTTATTTAGGCTGAAATCCATTTTTACTAGAGACACAATGAAACGCTAAAGTCACGGTTTAGTTTGTACCTCGGTATGAGGGTCCCAATGTGGTGCGAGTTTGGCACAGCAGGAAAAGGAACCAAATTTTGCCAAAGAAGTTGGAAAATGACAAAATTTGCCTAATTTTGTCGTTTTGTTGTTTTTTTAAAACAGATGATTCTGTTTACCTAAAAATAAAATTGAGTGGGAAAAAAAAATCACGTTTTGCTGTTTTCTTTCATCCAATTTGAACTTTAAAAAGTGTACGACAGGTTAGGTGAAACAATGGGCCTCATGCAAGAACCGTTCGTACGCACAGATTTGTTCTTAAATTGTGCGTACGAGTGATTTAGGAGAATTTGTGGCATTCACC